GTGAAACCTCTGTGATCATCCTCCAGTGTTTAGAAACCGGGAGGCTATTTGGGAGTGTTAAAAAGATAATTCCCCACCCCGCCCTAAATTGCTGGGCATGCAGAGGAAATTGTACCCTACATTTACGAGTGGGAACTGGTGTCAAGCAATTGGCATTGCTGGGCACTGACTGAGCCCCGAGTCGCCCCCCACAGAGACCCCGACAAGCAGTGTTCCCTCTAAGCTGAGTTAGTGTGAGCTAGCTCACAGTGTTTTAGCCTCCGGCTCACACACTTTTGCCTTTGCTCAGTAAGGAGGGCTCCAGAGCAAATTAATTTATGCAGCAGCCAAATCGCTCGCTCACAACTTTAATGCTCACAATTTTTGCTCACAAGACTCCACAGCTTAGAGGGAACATTGCCGACAAGCACCTAGGTGACCCCTTAGCCAACTGCTTCTCCTAGGGTTGCCAGCTCCAGGATGGGAAATTTCTGGAGAATTGGGGTCAGGATCAATGTTCCCTCTAAGCTGTGGAGTCTTGTGAGCAAAAATTCTACTTTGTGAGTTACTGGCATTAAAGCTGTGAGCGAGCGATTTGGCTACTGCATAAATTAGTTTGCTCTGGAGCCACCCTTCCCGAGCTAAGGCAAAAGTGTGTGAGCCGGAGGCTAAAAAACTGTGAGCCGGCTCACCCTAACTCAGCTTAGAGGGAACACTTGGACGCAAACAGTTGGAAGTGAATGGCTTTTGGGAAGCCAGACACTGCTTCTCGGGGTCTCTGTGGGGGCGACTCGGGGCTCAGTTAGTGCCCAGCAATGCCAATTGCTTGACACCAGTTCCCACTCGTAAATGTAGGGTACAATTTCCTCTGCATGCCCAGCAATTTAGGGCGGGGTGGGGAATTATCTTTTTAACACTCCCAAATAGCCTCCCAGTTTCTAAACACTGTTAGCGAGCGATTTGGCTACTGCATAAATTAGTTTGCTCTGGAGCCATCCCTTCCTGAGCTAAGACAAAAACGTGTGAGCCA